TACGAGTCCTTTTTTAAAGCTGATCGTTTTGTGCTCATTTTGTTTAGTTCTTTTTTCGTAACAGATTTAATGTTTAGTATAGAGTTTAGAAAAAATTCGCAGTGTGAGATAGGCAAGAAGTAAGGCATGTAGCAAGATCAGCACGGCAATGGGCACTCCTTTAAAGGCAAGGAAGGGCAAAAATATTTTAAGTCAAGTGATAGCGATTGCTGTATGAGTCGTACGATTTTTGAATCAAGCACGGGCAACGCCGGGCCATGCTGCTAGTCATAAATAATTTCTGTTATTTTTCACCAACTCTATTCTTCAAAAATAAAATATAATTATATTTATTCGTTTATAAATACCCCCTTATTTGCAATGACTAGTCACCACTTATCAGGCAATTCGTCGAAACCTTTTGAGTAAAATTCCACAGGCTTTCCTATAAAAAACTCGAATCTGGTTTTCATTAGAGAAAGTTTTCTCCATCGGTTTGTGCAAGTTCAGGTAAACATTGCTGGTGGGGGTAGAATAGACGAAAGAGGTACCAAGATTTTTCTCTTGCTATAAGCGACCTTTCGTTGTCATAGAAGAAAACGTTTTCTTTAATCTGTGTGCGCTTTGATCCCAGCCCGAATGTCAGAGAGCGAATTAAAGCGTAACTCGTGCAGCAGTAGTTGCTCAATCAATGAATGTCGAATTTTTCCGTATAAGGAAACGGATAATATTATCATTCCGCAGTCTTTCTCATCGGTTGAAAGGAGATTTGTGTGAAGTGAACAAACCTTCTCAGCTATCTAGGGACATATCATCATCATGGTCATCATCTAACCCATGACCGGAAGTGGTCGTAGGGACACAGCGCAGCTGAACACCTGATCAGTTTCTTCCATATGTCCCGGAAGGTAATCATTCATACGGAGCAAGTCTTGGGCAAACAAACCTGGTAGAGCCCATTCCTTTCCAGGTCAAACCACAGCCGATGTGAAGGTTCGCTTTGTTCGCGGATATCGGTGTCATCACCGTACTGGTTGCATACGTGGCTAGCTACCTCATTGTCGTAGATGACTTATGACCCAACAAGAAGGATTATCCGCCTCTTACAGGTTCTTTTTTTTAATCCTGCTGTGTGCCAAGTCACTCTCTTCCCCAGAAGAATCCTGGTGGGGGAACCGGTTTAATGATCGATGACTCTATCATGCAGCAGACTGTACTGGGTTACATGTCACAAATGACATTCATAGCGTGACTTGACATATCTTTTCCTTAATATTTGTGAATTACCATGACTTCTCGGAAAAGAGAGTGGAATATTTTCCCATTGACATTTAGACAGTTTTAGCCAATTGTCCTTCAGTTAGAGCGGCTATCGTTTTAGGCTAGATTGATTGATTAATAGATTTGTTTTTTACGGCTTATCAACCCTTTGAAGGTTATTTAAAGCCAGTAAATATTTTTAGATAGTAAGATATTTTTTCAGCGATTATAATGGTTTAGGGACACAAATCTTACTAATAATAATTAACCCATAGCTGGGAAGGGCGTAAGAGGGAGAATCATGCCCAAATAGAATTGATAGGCAAACGAGAAATTATTAGGAGGATATAAACTGGGGATCAATTCTATATAGAAATCAATATATAAACTGATCCCTCACTTTGTGGCCACGGTAGTTTCTATAAATTTATATTCTAAAGAATGTAAATAAATCTAAAAGACATGCCCGTCAATGGTATTTAATTGATTGATTCGTTTTCTACGGCTTATCGATCCTTTGCAATGTAAAGCCGGCAAATATTTTTAGATGGCAAGAATTTTTTGTTGGGGGAGGGGATAATAATGTTTTAGTGATACAAGTGTTATTAATTAACCCATAGCTGGGGCGAGAAGATGTGGATTCTTACAATTAGCTGCCATTCCCAAGTGGTCACCCATGTAGGTAGCGACGCTTTGTGATGAAAATATCTATTTTTGTCTTTTTGTCGCAGCACTGTCGGTCGATATCTTTGTTGTTCACATCAAATTACGAGAATTCTAGGTAACGAAATATTCTCAGCCGTATCTTAAAGTTAAACTCATATCCCGAGCGCCTGATATTTCATCTAGCGACACTTTTAACAGCTTTCTTATCGAAGCTAAGCATAGACCAGCAAAATTCTTATTTCTAATTCTTCTTATTTTCTCAACGCTCAGTGTGACGCCATGACACTTTTAAATTCGACTCTTGCTCAAACGACTACTTTTACCAAATTTCAAATCTTTTTTCTAGACAAACTCAGTGTTATTCAGTTGGTCAAATCATTGATCAAATTGACTGATTCTGTTTAGTTTTATATTTACTATAACAACGTGATTTTGAATTAAAAAAAAGAGTCGTGTTAATGATATTAACGACTATTTTTCTTGTAAAAGATTTGAGTTTCATTCATACAAAATACACGATTGTCCTTTTTTTCTGCTTTTTTTCTATTTTCTTTCTTTGCTACTTTTCTCGGCTTTACGATATTTTCCCCTTTTTATGTTTATTCACACTCTCCTTTTCTTTCTTTCGTGCTATTTCTTTCTATTTATATTCGATTCTTATTCTTTTCCCTTTTACTTTTCTTTTCTTTTTTCTTTTCTTTTCTTTTTCTTTTTTTTCGTTTCTTTTCCTTTCTACTTTCCGTTTTCTTTTTTTCATTTCTTTTTCTTTTCCTTTTCTTTATTTTTTCTTTTCTTTTCTTTTCCTTTTCTTTATTTTTTCTTTTCCCTTTTACCTTTCTTTTCCCTTTTGCTTACTTTTCTCTTTTTCGTTTCATTTTTCTTTTTTCTTTTCTTTTTCAAGCGTTTCATTCCCTTTACTTTCTTTTTGTATTCTCTTCTTTTTCTTTTAATTTTCTTTTCCGTTTCATGCTTTTCTTTCTTCCGTTTGTTTACTTGCTTTCCTATTATTACTTTCTTTTTCTTTTCTTTTATTTCTTTCTTTCTTTCTTTTTCTTTCTTCTTTCTTTCTTTCTTTCTTTCTTTGCAGCTTTTCTTTTCCGTTTTCTTCCTTTCGTTCTCTTTCTTTCCTTTTCATTCCTTCTTTTTTGTAGCCATTCTTTATTTTATATTATCTTCCTTCCTTTCTTTCTTTCTTTCTTTCTTTCTTTTCTGTTTTCTTCCTTTCGTTCTTTTTCTTCCCGTTAATCTTCCATTTTCTTCCCTTCTTTCCTTCGTCTTTTCAGTCATTCTTTTTTATTTTATATTTGTGTGTATGTCTTTTCATTCTTTTTTCTTTCTTTCTTTCTTTCTTTCTTTCTTTCTTTGCAGCTATTGTTTCTTTATTTTCTGTTTTCTTCCTTTCGTTCTCTTTCTTTCCTTGGCTTCCCTTTTTTCCTTCTTTTTTGTAGTCATTCTTTCTTTATTTTATGTTATCTTTCTTCTTTCCTTTCTTTCTTTCTTTCTTTCTTGTTTGTTGTCTATTTGATTCATTGTCTTTATCTCTTTACAAATTTGAATTTATTTTTATTCATTTAATCCACTTCTTCCTCTTTCTTTTTTCAAATCCCCTCTTTCTTCCCCCCTCTACCCCCCTTTCATTACCACCCTGCCTTTATCTCTTCTCGTTCCGTGTCTCTTTTAATTTTTCTTTTAGTTTGCCTTTCGACTTTCATTATCACCTTATCAGTTGCCTTGATTCATTATTAATCATTATCTCCCTTGCGTATATGATGTGTGCCTTCCCCAACAGGTGTCGCTTTATTTCTGACGTTGATCCGTGCGTAAATATGCACGTATGGAAATATCGACACGAGACGGTCTCAGAGGATTTTTAGTCCCAACACTTCACTGTAATCTCTAGAGCCACCTACGCATCCTAAGCCCGCGACAGCAGGACCATCTTTGAATTAATTATCAAAATCTCCCAAACTATATGAGCATCATTGTTACCTTCGCTGTATCTTCAGTTAAGGCGATCATATCGATTTCAAGAACGATGTTGGTACAGTTGGAAGTTTTAAAAATTAATCTAACATATAAGAAATGCGTGGCTGTCTTCCATCACATTGTTAGCTTTTCGCTGCGATTAATTTTCATTATAATTTATAATTATCTTTATTACAAATCTAATGTTTAATATCATATATTCTAATTGTTTGTTTGTATGTAACGATTAACCCTAGAACACTAACCATCAATTAAAGTTACACCACTACTAACCATGGCTATATCATACCCAATTTTGAAATTATCAAAAAAAGAATAAATACTAGTCTTTTTCTTTAAGCGTTTCACCCCAAGCAAGGCGGGAAGTCACTGGGACGCAAGAGTTTACAGAAGATTTGGAGCAAGATCAGATAGGAGTGATAGAGGAAAGGATGAGGAGAAGGATAGTGCATAGATCAAAGCAACTGGAGATGTCGATTGACATTACATTTGAATAGCTGGAGATTATAGCTCTCAGGGAAACTGGAATAGGGAAGGGAGTTCCACAGGAAAGAGGTGCGAGACATGAAGCTATTGGAGTAGAAGAGACGGCTACATTTAACAGTTTCGACAGTGAAAGGGTGAGAGCGAGATGCCAGCCTCGTAGGGTGCTTGAACTCATGAAGTCTGGGAACCAGCGAATGCAGTTCCTCGGAGCAATTGCCATGAAAGTATTTGTAAAACAGACAGAGAGAGAGAGAGGCGACGGCGCGTCTGTGAGAAAGTGACTGCAGACGAGATGCCAGAGCAGGGCCAATTATATTGCATATCCGACTCTGGAGCCTATCAAGAACCCCGAGGCAAACAGAAGGGGCTCCAGACCATATATGGCAGAAATACTCCATGCAAGGGCGAATTGTTGATTTGTAGATCTGGAGGATCGATTCCGGGGAGAAAAATTTCCTGGCGCGACACAGGGAGCCAACTTTCCTTGCGGTGGACGAAGCAATTGACTCTTTGGGCCAAATATAGGCGTAGAGACATCCCATTAACACGATTTTAATCCGTTATATCCTTCCACTGTGGAGAGGTTTTCAAATTTTAATTTCATGGTCCTGTCATGAGCAGTGCCGTGTCCTGTGTGAGAACATCTTCCTCATTGCCCTCGAGAGGGAGAGTTGTTTCATACCAACGCCAGAGTAACAGTGTGCGCAATTTTTGTCCTTGTTCCACATGTATTCGTTTGAACACTTGACCAGTTGCCTCCATATATATGGGTTTAAGCAGGACAGTTATTCGGTCATGCATAGGATATCTTGGGCATGTACACCTGGCGGAGATCATCCCTCTCCATGTTAACCCTTTGAGCCTTGACCACCGCTTTACCGGTGGTATAGAAAAATGACGTAATGCCACCGGTTGAACAGTGGTAGAGAAAAATGACTTAATGCCCAACTATCGGTTGAACGGTGGGTAAACATTTGTAACTATTTTTATATCTACCGTGAAACATTACATAACAATTATCTGCAAATTTTGACTCAGGAGCTCAGGCAGAAGTGTTAAGTTGTTTAAGAACGCAGGGCTCAAAGGTCTAAACCACGGAAAATGTCCTCCAACTTGAATGTTCACCATGGTCAAGGACATGTGGTCATTAATTCCATCGGGAGAACCCTCTGACAAAGCCGCTGGCTTCCGTCTAGGAAGACCTCCGCTTAGCGATACCGTGTCATCCCCGCACTGGATATACAGACTGTAGTTCAGTCCCATGTGCAGTTTTAAGATACGGTTAAATTTGGGGTGATGGTGAAGAGTGATTGTGTTGCGCCAATGTTCTTCGTAAGGTGTAGGTTAAAAATCAGCATTTGAATTCTTGGCATTTATTTGTACTCGATCACTGAAAACTGGTGTTGATAGGTAATGGCGCATCCCGACCTCTCATCAGGCGAAAGACAATTTCTAACTGTCAAATTCTGTCTCTTCATGTTTACCTGTCCGTGTTTGTCGTTTCGTGCAGGTTGTAAAATCGCGCCATCATAAACTAATACAAATAGACATTAAATGAGGCGTTTTCACGCGTTAACTTGTACCTGGCGTCTCTATGGTTACAGAGGCGGTGAAATTCAACCACGTGTAATCTCGATTTTCCTTCTCGGCCATATTTTCACAGGGGACATTAAAGGCAAGATAAAAGGTCGCTGCAGAAGACAAAAGACAAAGCAATGAAATCAGAGTGGAAAAGAGAGGTAAACCCCCCAAAAGAAACAAGAATTAAAAACGGTTTGATTTCAATTGAACTGAATAACTGAATGACTAAAACTCCCTGAACGGATTTGCACGGATTGAAGTAATGGGATTCTGATTCTTTGCTGTCATTATTTATAAAGATTTCTGCTAGTTGCCAACTCGAGAGAAAGATTCATCTTTTTTTTTTTAGACATTTACATTCGATAATGCTGTACGATATGTTCTTTTTTATTTTATTACTCCATTCCTCCATTTTCTTTCTTTCTGTCTGTCTTTCTTTCTTTCTTTATACTTCTCTCTTTCTTTGTTTACTTTTACTTTTTCATTTATTTTAGCGTTATTTATCCTTTTTTTGATTTTCTTCTTTTCTTTTTTCCTTTCTTCTTTTCGTTTTGTATTCTTTCTTTCTTTTTCCTTTTAACTTTCTTTCTTTCTCATTTCTCGTTTTCTTTTCATTTGAAATTCTTTCTCCGTATTCATTCAATGATTTTTCTTATTTTTTCTTTCCGTTTTTTTTCTTTCTAATTTGTCATTTTCTTTCTTTACATTCGACATTTTCATTTTCTCTTTTTATTCATCCATTGATCTTAACTTTCTTTCTTTCTTTCGTTCTCATCTGTCAATTTCTTATATTTCCATATTCTATCTCTTCTCCTCTTTGTTATTATTTACCCTTTTGTTTTTCTTTTATCTAATCGGTATCGCCCCATACAAGGCAGTAAATCCACTAAGACACAAGCGGTTACAGGGTGTGGAAGAATTAGGAACAGAAACATTAATAATGAGCGGGAAGAGAAAAGAGGAATCAGGAGGACAGTAAATAGCGATTGAGATTGTATTTAAACTTTTGCAAATTAAAGTTGCTGGATAGCTTATAGACGGAAGGGAGAAAAGAAACTGTTTGCATAGAACTTACGGCCATATCTAATCAGCTCAATTTTAAATTGATGAAATCTCGACCCCAGTTTACTATTCTGCTTAAATTTATAAAGTCTAGATACCATAACGAAGAGCTAATCCAAACAATTATCATGAAAGTATTTATAGAAAAGACACAGGGAGGCAACCTTACGTGGGTGGGAAAGTGACTCACACAATACAATGAACCAATTTAGCAGCTGGCCTAGCAATGGATTCAATATAGTCTTTCCATTTCATATCAGCAGAGAATGTGTACTCGAGAAGGTGCAATGAGCCACTTTCCTGGCGGATAACATCAGCCATGTTGAGGGAAGGCAGCAAGGTGTCTCTTAGATGATTAATGGTGAGAAGTTTAATATTGGAAGCGTTGACAAGCCATCTTTTGCCCTATTTAATGACGGACTTGAGGTTGTTTGTTTAATTTTTTTCTTTCTCAACTGCCATTTTCTTTCTTTTTATTCAATATCCTTGATTTTTCTCTGTATTCATTCACTCATCGATCGATTTTCTATTTTCTTTTCATTTAACTTTCTTTCTCTTTCTCTTCTCATTCCCTATCTCTTTCTCTTTTCCTTTCTCTTTCTCTTTCACTTTTTGTTTCCTTTTCTCTTTCTCTTTCTTTTTCCCTTTCCCTCTTTCTTGTTCTCTTTCATTTTCTCTTTCCGTTTAACTTTATCTTTCATTTTCTCTTTCCGTTTCACTTTCTCTTTCATTTTCTCTTTCTCTTTCTCTTTCCCTTTCCCTCTTTCTCTTTCACTTTCTCTTTCCGTTTCACTTTCTCTTTCATTTTCTCTTTCTCTTTCTCTTTCCCTTTCCCTCTTTCTCTTTCACTTTCTCTTTCCGTTTCACTTTCTCTTTCATTTTCTCTTCCTGTTTCACTTTCTCTTTCTCTTTCCCTTTCCCTCTTTCTCTTTCTCTTTCATTTTTTCTTTCCGTTTCACTTTCTCTTTCCCTTTCCCTCTTTCTCTTTCTCTTTCATTTTCTCTTCCTGTTTCACTTTCTCTTTCTCTTTCCCTTTCCCTCTTTCTCTTTCATTTTCTCTTTCCGTTTCACTTTCTCTTTCCCTTTCCCTCTTTCTCTTTCTCTTTCATTTTCTCTTCCTGTTTCACTTTCTCTTTCTCTTTCCCTTTCCCTCTTTCTCTTTCTCTTTCATTTTCTCTTTCCCTTTCCCTCTTTCTCTTTCTCTTTCATTTTCTCTTCCTGTTTCACTTTCTCTTTCTCTTTCCCTTTCCCTCTTTCTCTTTCTCTTTCATTTTCTCTTTCCGTTTCACTTTCTCTTTCCCTTTCCCTCTTTCTCTTTCTCTTTCATTTTCTCTTCCTGTTTCACTTTCTCTTTCTCTTTCCCTTTCCCTCTTTCTCTTTCTCTTTCATTTTCTCTTTCCGTTTCACTTTCTCTTTCTCTTTCCCTTTCCCTCATTCTCTTTCTCTTCCTGTTTCACTTTCTCTTTCTCTTTCCCTTTCCCTCTTTCTCTTTCTCTTTCATTTTCTCTTTCCGTTTCACTTTCTCTTTCTCTTTCCCTTTCCCTCTTTCTCTTTCTCTTCCCGTTTCACTTTCTCTTTCTCTTTCCCTTTCCCTCTTTCTCTTTCTCTTTCATTTTCTCTTCCCGTTTCACTTTCTCTTTTCTTTTCTCTTTCTATTTCTTTATAGAACATATACACATATGTTTTGGATAATATGACTATTCTTTTACATCTTTGACTTGATGTATATCATTTGTGTTCATCTTGTCAGAAATGGAATCCAAAATTTTATTTGCAAAAAAAAAAAAAAAAAAACGAAATAAAGACGAAATAAAATCTGTACAAGAAATTGAAAGTCTTCATTTACTCACCTGTCTCGGTAAAGTGTCTCTCTCACCTGTAGAAGGCGAGTTTCGGTTCAATTAATCATAAATATGTCACTGATTTAATTAATTCCAACTCCTCCTAAGCTCTTCCTTTCTTGTGGATGGGCAGATTCAGGTACAGGGGTCATTTAGGTTCTATTGTGAAAGATATATTCACCTGAATACCTGATGGTTTAAACATTTGGCCACACCAATGTAAGGACAGAAAAACTAATTTCAGGCCAGAGAAAAATATTGCCGAAATAGGAGAGAACCGTTAATGGCCGAGTTTATTCGAAGATAGGTCAATATATACCGAATGGATATATGCATGTATATATGTATGTAAGGACAGAAAAACTAATTTCAGGCCAGAGAAAAATATTGCCGAAATAGGAGAGAACCGTTAATGGCCGAGTTTATTCGAAGATAGGTCAATATATACCGAATGGATATATGCATGTATATATGTATGTACGCATCTATCTCAGACTGTTCATTATCTATCATGTGTTAATATCTATGTCAGTCTGTTTCTATCTATCTATCTATCTATCTCAATTTGTTGCTATCTATCTATCTATCTATCTATCTATCTATCTATCTATCTATCTATCTATCTCAATTTGTTCCTATCTATCTATCTATCTATCTATCTATCTATCTATCTATCTATCTAAATCTTTTCTGATTTGTCTAACCGTTTTATTGTTCTAAATGTTGACCAACCGTCTTTTACGAAATATCTTTAAGTGATTCATTTCTAATTGTAAACCGACTGAAACACTTTTTCCGTCCTACACTGACTGACTTCACTTTCCCCAAAACGCATTAAATATTCTTTCCCGGAATGCTTCTGCTCTTTTATTCAATGTACATTAACACCGAAGACATTCTCTCACCATCAAATTTACGACTGCTACGAGGATTTCACTCGTTGCCAGTGAAGCAGTAGAATTCTTAACCTTACCGGCCAAGAAAACGAGGCAGGCTTTTAAAATTGCCTACAAATCGTATTTCCCCTTTACAAGGATTTGTCTTTATTTGATCAAAAAAGAACATGGAAACTCCGAGAACTATTTTGGCCAACTGACACACACACAAACACTATATCACTATATCTATCACTATATATATCTATCTATCTATCTATCTATCTATATATATATATATATATATATATATATATATATATATATATATATATATATATACACTCGACTCTCCCAGATCAGTTTCTAGGAAACCGACAGCCCGACAACAGCACATGAGATTTGATTATAGTGGTGAATATTTCGTGCAGGACCATCCACACTTTTGAAGGGCCAAATACAGAGACCTGGTGCACTAAGTGGCACAAGGTCCCCAAACAACTCTACGCAGGTTTTGAATTCAGTGTTGTTCTTCTCCTAGACCAATTGTCATCCAAGGCTATAGAACCCAGTCTGCCCTGCTATTTACCCATAGCTGGATGAGAAGATGAGGATTCACACCTTTTCTGAGGGTATTAGCACGTAATATATAATTATAAGAATAATAAAAAGTAATAATAAAATAATAATTATAAAATAAGAATAATTAAATAATAACAATAATAATAAATAATAATAATAATAATAATAATAATAAAATAATATTAGGTTGGTGCAAAAATAATGTCGTTTTTGACGTTCAACTTAACGTCAAAAAACGACATTATTTTTGCCTAAAACCTAATAATAATAATATAATAATAATAATTAGAAAATAATAATTATTATTATTGTAGCTTAAAATAGCTTAAAAATAAAATAACAATAAAACAAAAAAATAATAATTATAAAATAACAATAATAATAATAATTATTATTATTATAAAATATTAATAATAAAATAATAATAATAATATAATTAATAAAATAATAATAAAACGAGTACATTGACGTAAAGTTTAGCGATAAAAGCAACAATATTAAGACGGAATAATGATAAAATTAATAATAATAATAATAATAACAGAGTCAAGACTAATAAATTATTAATTATCTAATTATTTTACGTTATTATTTTCTATATGCAATTATTTTCATGCATTTAAGCGTTGAATATTTTTTCACCAAATGCCTATAATTTCGACGAACATTTTAAGGTGCACATTATGAAAAGAAAAAACAAATCCATAACCCACCGACCTTTCAACCCTTAAAACGCATGAAGATAATTACATATGCAAACTATTAACGCCCAGTCCAAGGAGGAATGAACAAAATAAGATTTATATTAAACTATTCGATTATTTCCGCTTTTTGACTAAAATTTCAAGATGAGAACGATCCCCATCATGTTATTCACGTTTTAATTGCATTTCATTCACGTTGCCTGCATTCCATTCGCTTCGTCGCATTGATTACCACTACAACCGTTTTTCTCAAGACAAGCGATGTTTGTACAAATATTTGTATTTTTTTAATGTAGAAAAGAAAAAAACAGTGAGCTAAATATTGAAAGAAAGTTGGTTGGTTGATTTTGTTGAGCGATACTTAAATATTTTGAACGCAATTGTATGCCTTCAGCTACAGATAAAATGTATTGTTGCCCATTTTGCTTTAAAATTGTGTTGATGGCCATTTTAATATAAATAGGCATTGCTGTCATTTTTATATAAAATGTATTGTTGGTATTTTTACTATAAAAATGTATTTTTATCTTTAATAGTGTTTTATTTTTGTTTGGAAGTTCAATTTTTGTCCATAGCTGGGATCCCAACAGGTGGTACCACCCCAGGTCCGTGTGCATAGTAACAACAGCAATTAATAGGTTTGGAAAAAAACGGTGTGCTAAATTGTAATTTTTAAAGATAAATTGAAGAGGACAGATATACTGTCGAAACATTGTTAAATTTGTTTCTTTTCTTTTACTTTTCTTAGATCGCCATCTTCTGTAAGTTTCGCAAAAAAATGAAAAAGTTACGACAGTCCTTTTGTTTAATAATAATAATAATAATAATAATAATGAAGAGTGTATTGACCCCGGGTTTCGCCATAAAAAGCAACAATATTATCATGGACTACTACTACTACTACTAATAATAATAATGAATTATTGGTTGCATTCATTCTGAGCAGGCTGTCAGACTGAATGCAACCTTGGCCAGGATAGTTAGATCACAAGAAGAAAGCAAATGCAGGATGTGTGGGCAAGTTGACGAGACTTACACCTTGAATGTCTCAAGTTAGCACAGAAAGAGTATAAGTGACGACATGATTGTATTTTTAATAGGATTCCTTGGGAACTATGTCTTAAGTTTGGCTTCATTGTAAAAAAGAAGTGGTATAAACATCTGCTGGAGGCATGAATAGAAAATTAGAGTCACAAGATATTATGGAATCTCGTAGTCCAGACAAATGACGGCACTGAAGCGGCAAGACAAGACTTTATTGTTATAGAAAATAATCAATGTCAAATTATTCACTTTGCTGTTTCCATAGGATACAAGTGTGAAGCACAAAGAAACTAAAAAGTTTGAAAAATACCTGGATATGTCTGGGGAGTAGAAGGCGCTATGGAACATGGATTTAGAACTAATTCCTGTAGTAACAGGAGCACTTTGAACACCACCTAGAAAACTAAAAGAATGCTTAGGGAGTATTGAAATTAAGACCAAAATTGGAGACCTTCAGAAATCTGTCATCATTTACTCTGTGAGGATTCTCTGAAAAGTTCTAAAGTCATGAGAAGTCTTGTTGAAACAGGGACTGAAAAGGGAATTTTCAATAATTACATCAATATACAACACCAAAATAATTTAAATATATAATAAGAAAATAATAATATAATAATATATAAATATATATATATATTATATTTATATATATTAATATATAATGTATTTAATATCATATATATTAATATATTATATATATTACATAATATATATATAATATATAATAATATTATTATATTATTAATATATATATATATATTAATATATTATATATATACATATATAATATATAATATTTATATATAATAATATATAAATATACAATAATAATAATATATAATAATAAAAGTAGTAAATGACATGTATATATATATATATATATATATATATATATATATATATATATATATATATATATAATATTTATATATAATTATAATATACTCCGGGCCTGACGATTGCATCTAGCATGAAACAGACTGTCGCCTCTAAGTGTTGACTTCTATGTTCACTTTTATATTTACTGTTGAAACTTGCCTAATGCATGGAATAATAATGCAACACAAAATGTACTTAGAACAAAATGAAACAAGAAAGTGTACACAATATTTACATATAGTCTTTTGTATATTCCTGGTAAGACCGTTCCTGGAGAATGTGTTGACTGAGTCGCAGTCGGGCAGAGTCTCTGGTTGAATCTCTTGATTCCCCCCTGGCTTCCCGGTACCAACCATATTTATATGGTCGGTACTCCACTATGCAAATTAGGTGGATCCTACCACAACATTTACACACGCTCTATCTCTGATATTGAACACTTTATCCCATAAATATAGCACATCTTAAGACTATATTTCTTCATATATAATAATATATAAATATATAATAATAAAATAATATAAGTCGTAAAATGACATATATGATATATATATATATATAATATATAATATAATATTTATATATAATAATATATAAATGTATAATAATAATATACAATAATAAAAAAATTAAAGTATTACAATGAAAATGCTTTAGATATAATTTGAAAAATACTTCCAGCTATGCTTGTGGAATGAAGTAGATATCTGTTTGACTCTTGCTCGATATTGACAAGAAACCTCACCAATAAGGAAGGATTATGTTTATTATTAAATTCATGTTATAATTTTTTTCTGTTATTCATGATTTTTTTTATTTATTCGTAACTGGTGATTATCAATAGGAATCATGCGAAAGCAACTTTTCTAAAAGCTATAGCTTTCTTCCCAAAATTCTTGCTAATTTTCTTAATGTTGCTATTTTCTTTTGGTTATTTTTTAAATCATTTCACCTTAAGCAAGAACATAAAGCCACAAAGATGCAAAGCGTTACTGAATTTTAGGGAATATGAGAAAAAAAATTCTTCAGTCTCAAGGCTCTTCAGGATTGTTTCGAGTACCATTAATCGATGTTATCAATTGACCTTATCCAGTCAAGATATCTTCGCGGATTTTAATTTTCCTTTCCTATAAAACATTCACGATCGATTTAAAAAATAATAATTTTTCTTTTTCATCATTAGATTTCGTTTTCTGTCCGAGATTCGGTAATTCATTTCAATGTGAAAAGTTCGTGGAATTTGATTTATTTTTTTTTTTATCGACAACAAATTCTGGACTGTGTAAATTCTAACAGTTTTGATAGTAAAAGCAACAAGAAGAAAAAAAATGAAGCTATTTGCACAGTTTCCAGAGGACGACAGCTCACACCCAATCATGCACAACTGTGTACTTTTTCTGCGACTGGCCTTCTAGCCTTTTTGGGCACACGGCCATATCACGTGGAAACACCGGTTCCTGTACGATTACCGAAGTTAAGCAACGGCAAACCTGGTTAGTACCTAGATGGGTGACCGCTTGGAAATACCAGGTGCTGTAAGCTTGGATGTGCAAGTGGTACTCACTTACAATACATATCACATTGAAACAGCGGTTCTCATATGATCACAGAAGGTAAGCAATATAGATCCTGGTCAGTACCTAGATGGGTGACTGTTTGGAAATACCAGGTGCTGTAAGCTTGGATGTTCAAGTGGTACTCGCTTACAATACATATCACATTGAAACAGCGGTTCTCATATGATCACAGAAGGTAAGCAATATAGATCCTGGTCAGTACCTAGATGGGTGACCGCTTGGAAATACCAGGTGCTGTAAGCTTGGATGTGCAAGTGGTACTCGCTTACAATACATATCACATTGAAACACCGGTTCTCATATGATCACAGAAGGTAAGCAATATAGATCCTGGTCAGTACCTAGATGGGTGACCGCTTGGAAATACCAGGTGCTGTAAGCTTGGATGTGCAAGTGGTACTCGCTTACAGTACATATCACATTGAAACAGCGGTTCTCATATGATCACAGAAGGTAAGCAATATAGATCCTGGTCAGTACCTAGATGGGTGACTGTTTGGAAATACCAGGTGCTGTAAGCTTGGATGTTCAAGTGGTACTCGCTTACAATACATATCACATTGAAACAGCGGTTCTCATATGATCACAGAAGGTAAGCAATATAGATCCTGGTCAGTACATAGATGGGTGACTGTTTGGAAATACCATGTGCTGTAAGCTTGGATGTTCAAGTGGTACTCGCTTACAATACATATCACATTGAAACACCGGTTCTCATATGATCACAGAAGGTAAGCAATATTGATCCTGGTCAGTACCTAGACGGGTGACCGCTTGGAAATACCAGGTGCTGTAAGCTTGGATGTTCAAGTGGAACTCGCTTACAATACATAACACATTGAAACACTGGTTCTCATATGATCACAGAAGGTAAGCAATATAGATCCTGGTCAGTACCTAGATGGGTGACCGCTTGGAAATACCAGGTGCTGTAAGCTTGGATGTGCAAGTGGTACTCACACAATACATATCACATTGAAACACCGGTTCTCATATGATCACAGAAGGTAAGCAATATAGATCCTGGTCAGTACCTAGATGGGTGACCGCTTGGAAATACCAGGTGCTGTAAGCTTGGATGTGCAAGTGGTACTCGCTTACAGTACATATCACATTGAAACAGCGGTTCTCATATGATCACAGAAGGTAAGCAATATAGATCCTGGTCAGTACCTAGATGGGTGACCGCTTGGAAATACCAGGTGCTGTAAGCTTGGATGTGCAAGTGGTACTCGCTTACAATACATATCACATTGAAACAGCGGTTCTCATATGATCACAGAAGGTAAGCAATATAGATCCTGGTCAGTACCTAGATGGGTGACCGCTTGGAAATACGAGGTGCTGTAAGCTTGGATGTGCATGTGGTACTCGCTTACAGTACATATCACATTGAAAGACCGGTTCTCATATGATCACAGAAGGTAAGCAATATAGATCCTGGTCAGTACCTAGATGGGTGACTGTTTGGAAATACCAGGTGCTGTAAGCTTGGATGTTCAAGTGGTACTCGCTTACAATACATATCACATTGAAACACCGGTTCTCATATGATCACAGAAGGTAAGCAATATAGATCCTGGTCAGTACCTAGATGGGTGACTGTTTGGAAATACCAGGTGCTGTAAGCTTGGATGTTCAAGTGGTACTCGCTTACAATACATATCACATTGAAACAGCGGTTCTCATATAATCACAGAAGGTAAGCAATATAGATCCTGGTCAGTACCTAGATGGGTGACCGCTTGGAAATACCAAGTGCTGTAATCTTCGATGTGCGGATGGGGTAATGGATAACGGCTATTAATTTTTAATCGAAGAGCCGAGTTTCAATTCAAGTTGGATTCATTATATCTACTGATGCACAAATACAATTCGCAAAGGTATGAATCCACATTCTCTCCCCCAAGCTAAGGGTTAATTAGTAAAACCTTTATTATTAAATCATTTTTATCGAAAAGAAAAATCTAAAAAAAATTCTGGTTTTAAATACCCTGCAAAAGGTTGATAGACCGTAGAAAACGAATCTATCAAATCTTTCTGTGCATTACTGCATTTATTTTACAGTGATTTTCTAGGCCGAAAGTAGGGGGTACTCAGTGTAGTAGACTCACTAAGTCACTATTTATCTGTAATTGTTCTAGAGATGTCAAGCTTGTTAACCATAACCCCTCATCGATGTTCCCTTTAGTGATTTATTAGCGTAGCTTAGATGAGTCACAATGTCGAAATTATGAACACCCAGCGAAAATCGAGCTCACTACTCAGTCATAATTGATCTAACGAGACATGCTTGTTAACCGTTACACCACGTGGAGGTGCTCACTGGGGATAGTTTATGAATGATAATCTAAATTACGATTTTTAATTAGTTCTTTAATAATTGTTCTGTTAAATAATCGGTTCAGTTTTTTTCTTCCAATGTCCATCTTGGATATCATGTCAGTTTTGGATATCATGTCCATCTTGGATATCATGTCAATTTTGGATATCATGTCCATCTTGGATATCATATCAATTTTGGATATCATATCAATTTTGGATATCATGTCTATTTTGGATATCATGTCCATTCTGGATATCATCTCCATCTTGGATATCATGTCCATTTTGGATATCATGTCAATTTTGGATATCATGTCCTTCTTGGATATCATGTCAATTTTGGATATCATATCAATTTTGGATATCATGTCCATTTTGGATATCATGTCCATTCTGGATATCATCTCCATCTTGGATATCATGTCCATTTTGGATATCATGTCAATTTTGGATATCATGTCCATTTTGGATACCATGTAAATTTTGGATATCATGTCCATTTTGGATATCATGTCCATTCTGGATATCATCTCCATCTTGGATATCATGTCCATCTTGTATACCATGTCCATCTTGGATATCATGTCCATTATTTTCTCTTTGCCCCTCAAGGTCCGTTCAATTATATTTTTACTTTCTTGTCTTGAGTATTTCTGATCCTATATTCGGATTCCTGTCAATTTTATTGCAATTTTTACCCGCGTAGTAATTTTATCTTTGCAAACTTGGCTTTTATAGAGACCCCACCGACGTCCCCTGATAACAGAAGCCGTTCGAAGTGATGATAAGTTCTCTTTCTCGACTTTTTCTTTACACCTAAAAATCTATTCTCATTCTTTCTCGGTGGTACAACTTTAACAGAAACGAAATCTATTCTTAGTTCTTTTTTCTATCTTTTCTTTTTAACTAATTGCTGTCTTTATTTTCTGCTGCGTTTAAAGTTTTATAACTGAGAGGAAGGGAAGTCTTATTTCTGAAAATCTAATATCTAAAGGTTTCTTTTTTATTTGCCAAAAATATCACCAGTTTCTCTTGGCTGTAAAGATTTTGTCATAGAAACGACAACAGTTCATATTTCTGAAATCTCTAACTTCAATTTTCTTATAGAGCAATTTCTCTCGAATGTAAGGTCTCGTCGTCGGCACCCGATCGCATCCGAGCATAGGGATCGTCACCCTCTTTCGTTGACAACACTGTTCGAACTAGTACTGCGCTTAATTTCATGAAGTCTAGGTACCAAAAAGGAAAGTTCATCAGGCCACTTACTATGAAAGCATTTATAGAAAAAAACACGGAGAAGCTACATTACGGAGCTGGGAAAGAGACTGAAGCCGAGGTGCCAGGTCAGAACCAATATCATTGCAGATTCTTCTTTAGATTTTATCAAGAATCTCTAAATAGATAGCATATATAAGTATAGTTTGTTTAAGAGGATTATTTAACGCTGAAATTAGTTAAAACTGATAAATATATATTATAATTTAAAAATTATAAATAAATTATTTAGATATAAAAGTTATCTCCATCTATTGTTCTAACATATGAAATAAAGAATTCGTCGAAATGAAATGATAAATTGGTCTATTTGTTTTTTTATGTTTTATCAACCCTTTGCAGATTATTTAGAGCCAGAAAATATTTTTAGATTGTAAGAATTTTCTTTGGAGATAATAATTGTTTATTGATAAAAGTCTTACTAATTAACCCATAGCTGCGGGGAGAAGAAGTGGATTCATACGTCTAAGTGGATATAACGAACCCAAGTGGAATTGAAACAATTCTGAGGCATTATCCATTACAGTATCCTCACATCCAAGCTTACAGCACTGGTCATTCTCAAGCGGTTACCCATTCACATACTGACCAGGCTGGACGTTGCCTAACTTCGGTGATCGTACAGGAACCGGTGTTTCAACGTGATTTGTCCGTAAACCTCGTTGAAATGAGGATTCGATTTATCGCCTTTGGTCAAGTGAGTTTTCGGGCAAATAACATGACGGGTAAATAACATTTCGGGCAAATAATATTTCGAGCAAATAACATTTCGGGTAAATCACATTTTGGACAAATAACATTTCGGGTAAATAATTTTTCGGGCAAATAATATTTCGGGTAATAACATTTCGGTCAAATAGAATTTCGGGTAAAGAACATCTCGGGTAAATCATATTTCGAGCAAATAACATTTTGGGTAAATCACATTTCGGGCAAATAACATCTTGTGCAAATAACAATACGAGTAAATAAAATTTCGAGTAAATAACATTTCGGCAAATAACATTTCGAGCAAATAACAATTTGGGTAAATTTCGGGTAAATAACATTTTAGTGAAATAACTTTTTGAGTAAATCACATTTCGAGCAAATGAAATTTTGGGTAAATAACATTTTTTTTTAAGCGTTACACCCCAAGCAAGGCGAGAAGCCACTAAGGCGCAAGGGGTTACAGAAAATTTGGAGCAAGAGCAGATAGGAGTCGATTGACATTACATTTGAATAACTGGAGATTATAGCTCTCAGGGAAACTGGAATAGGGAAGGGAGTTCCACAGGCAAGAGGTGCGAGACATGAAGCTATTGGAGTAGAAGAGACGGCTACATTTAGGAGTTTCGACAGTGATAGGGTGAGAGCAGATACCAGCCTCGTAGGGTGCTTGAATTCATGAAGTCTGGGAACCAGCAAATGCAGCTCCTCGGAGCAATTGCCATGAAAGTATTTGTAAAACAGACAGAGAGAGGCGACGGTGCGTCTGTGAGAAAGTGACTGTAGACGAGATGCCAGAACAGGGCCAATTATATTGCATATTCGCCTCTGGAGCCTATCAAGAACCCTGAGGCAAACAGAAGGGGCTCCAGACCATATATGGCAGCAATACTCCATGCAAGGGCGAATTGTTGATTTGTAGATCTGGAGGATCGATTTCGGGGAGAAAAATTTCCTGGCGCGGCACAGGGAGCCAACTTTCCTTGCGGTGGACGACATTTTATGCAAATAACATTTCGGGAAAATAATATTTCGTGCAAATAATATTTCGGACAAATATCTATTTGCCGCCCAAGAGAGGTCAGACTGCACTGTTCTTAAATCCAGAGTTGAATGAAGAGATGGATTAATGTTTTTCAGAAGGGAATTTCTGTAGCAGTGAGCGCAGATGACTCAGCCTCGTTTTGGCGTCGACATGGCGAAATTCCATCTTTCATCCGGACAACAGTTACCCTACCCCCTTATCCAGTAGACTAGTCTGATAGACCATAATTACAATGTGCAGAGTTCGATCCTCACTGAGTGACCCATAACTGTAACCTTGCACTATACTAACTTTGTGGTTATCATTACAATCTTGACCTCATCAACTCTGGGATAAACCGTTATCCATCCTACATATCCTCATAATATGCACTTCTTACTTTCTCCCTTTACACTACTTACGCTTATAATAGTCTCATTCAATAACTCTTTAGCTTGAGTGGATCTTGCGCCTTGTATGGGGTGAACAATCTATATACAAAATTCTGTGACTTCCAGAAATTCATACACAGATGTCCTCAAGAACACATGGCACAGTGGATAAAGGCGTTGGTTAGATCCAGTGACAGGACCCAAAGAGTGTGAGTTCAATACCCGGTTAAGGCAGTGGAGATCTTTCAGAGGGAAATTAACAGGAGATAACTGAAATCCATTAAACATGGCACGTGGAACTAGAACAGTCTACCCCAGCGAGCGAAATAAAGGGTTCAGTTCGACATTCCAGCAACCTGAAGAAGGCCGGGGTGTACAACGACCGAAACGTAATAAATCTGGCGAATAATGTAAATAATCTCAAGTTGATGTTAAAGATTGTTGCAAGCCGTTGATTTATTTAAGACTGATCTTTTATGATATGACTCTAAACGATATTAAAATACATTGTATTTATTTAAGACTGATCTTTTATGATATGACTCTAAACGATATTAAAATACATTGTATTTATTTAAGACTGATCTTTTATGATATGGCTCTAAACGATATTAAAATACATTGTAATTATTTAAGACTGATCTTTTATGATATGACTCTAAACGATATTAAAATACATTGTATTTATTTAAGACTAATCTTTTATGATATGATTCTAAACGATATTAAATACATTGTATTTATTTTCAATTTCTCTAGTTGAATTGTTCACCTATATTGTATATGATCCGTTACTGTACATAATTAGATCGCAATAAAATCTGTATTTGATTGAATAATACCTTATGACAAGTGAGATGTAGTAGAGTATGGGCGGGGAACTCCGTATCATAGATTCGGCCGGGGGGGGGGTGCACGAGATCCTTTCACCAGCCCTGGGCAACAATATAGCCAAATATTTTATTATTTTGACTTTACTTTTCGACATTTCTCATTTTATTAATTCCTAGCATTTAGTTTTTGCAGCGTGAAGAAATTATTTAAGGAAAATATTTAGAAATCGGGTTCCTTCTAGCATTTATTGTAGAATTCTTGAGCGCTATTTTGATGCAGTTTATTGGCTATTAACCGCCGAATCCACACAAGCCTTTTTGATTGAAAAAGGAGATAAAAATAATTCAATTTAGCGACAAACGACAGCTACCTTAACATAATTTGTCTGAAATTTCGAGACGAAATAACGCTAGTATTTCATTAATTAGACCTACTACCTTTTGCTTATATATATATATATATATATATATATATATATATATATATATATATATATATATATATATGTGTGTGTGTGTGTGTGTGTGTGTGTGTGTAGTTAGGTAATGAAAAGTTTGGTATTAAATGTATAACTTTTGGTATTAAAGTTTCGTATTAAAAGTAAAACTTATATATAAAAAAAAAACGACTGACAATACGTCAAATAAATCCAAGTATAGAAAAAGGAAGGTTATATGGTTCAACCCTTCATTCTGCAAATTATCCAACATTAATATAGGAAAGTACTTCTTAAATTTAATAGATAAACATTTTAGTAAAAACAATACACTGAAAAAAAATCTTGAATAAAATGAAATTGAATATTAGTTACTCATGTGTGAACAATGTGGAGAAAATTATAAATTCCCACAATAATATCATTAGAAAATTTAATGCTAATCAATTACAAAAAAAAAATTCTACCTGTAATTGCAGGGTAAAAACCGAATGCCCAGTGGGAGGATTATGTATGACAGAAAATGTGGTGTACGAAGCCACGATCTTCACCAAAGAGAATACAATCCAAAAAAAGATTTATATTGGAATATCTGCTGGGAATTGGAAGCAGTGCCTTTATAACCATCGCTATTCCTTCACTAATGAATCTCTTAAACACCAAACAACACTGTCAAAATATTATTGAGGTCTGGTGGAAAACAGCTTCACCACACAGCTGAAATAGAGAATTATCTCTTGGGCTGGAACATCTCGGAACTTTAGAGACAGATGTGACCTCTGCATTAAGGAGAATATCTTAATAATCAAACATAATGAACCCGAGGAATTACTAAATCACCGCAATGAAATTATCTTCAAATGCAGGGACAGTCATCGTCTCAAAATAACAAATTGCAGCTAATATTTGGTAGGCCTGTCCATGGAATCTTCGGAACTTTAAATTTTCTAAACATAAAATAACACCGGGTGTCTATATATAAGATGAATTCTTTATGTTATACTGTATGTGGGTAAAGATAATGTGATGATATGTGTTCTAATAATTGTGTTGACATTTGTAGGTGATTATAGTGGACACATATGTGTGTGTATGTGCATGTAGGCGTTTATATGGGGGATTTACTTGCTTGTATTTATATGTGTGGATACATACATACACGTATATACAGTAGAGGCCATAATATAAGGAACGGAAACAACAAAAACATAAATATGTGTATTAATTAAAAAGTAAGGCATGATTAGCAATGAAATTTTTACCGAATAAAGATTAAGGTGTAATACATAAATATTATACAAAGTTACAAACATTTACATAATATTTTTTTTTAAATAAAGATTAAAAAGTTTGTCTGTTTTTTGTATATTAATTATATATATATATATAATTAATTATATATATATATATATATATATATATATATATGGTCCTGCCTGAGGAAACCTTCATTGGTGGAAACCGCAGAAGCAGAAAAGCTTAATGTTTGTAATATTTTAAATATTAACTAGCGCTCCACTTTCAATATTTGAACTATGTATTGAAAATATAAAACAAAACCGTTTCCTGGACAAGATTAACCTTGCCTGTAAAAACAGTTTTAATATATATATATATATATATATATATATATATATATATATATATATATATATATATATATCAGAAACCCGTGAAAGTATCAAAGGTTGTTATGAATTAACGTTTTGAGGATGTGGAAATGAAGGAGGTCTTTATTAGGAGCGCGGACGTCTTCACTCTAGAGAGTTACGAGCAGCTACAGCATGCGCATTAAAGTCGAAGGGTCCTACATTATAAGAGATTCGAATTTAGCTTTGTTCGAAATAAATACCCCACTAAAAGATTCTCAAAAATTCTAGACTACAGCTTCTATCTCTCTCTCTCTTTCTCTCTCTCTCTCTCTCTCTATCTATCTATTAGGTTGGCATCTCGGTCTCATCCTTTCACTGTCGAAACGGATAAATGTAGCCGTTTCTTCTACTCCAACAGCTTCCTAACTCGGACTTCCGGTCAGTGGAATTGCCTTCCTCTTACATGCTACCCTGATAGCTATAATCTTCAAATATTCAAATGTAATGTCAATCGACATCTTCAGATGCCTTGATCTTGATCCCCGTCCTTCTCTTTATCCTTTTCCCAAACACTCCTCTTTACCTCTTACTCTCACTCTCTGCAACCCTTGCGTGCTAGTGGCACTCCCGCCTTGCTTGGGGTGATTTGCTTAAAAAATCTATCTATCTATCTATCTATCTATCTATCTATCTATCTATCTATCTATCCATCTATCTCATTCTGTTCATTATCTATCTATCTATCTATCTATCTATCTATCTATCTATCTATCTATCTCGTTCTTTTCATTATTTATTTCATTCTGTTCATTATCTATCTATCTATCTATCTATCTATCTATCTATCTGCTGTATCCTTAAAGAGTTTACAAACAGGCAAATATGTTACTCGAATGAAGGAACAGCAACACGCGCGTAGATGAAAGAGTGGTTTATTGTAAAAGAGAATACATTACTAATCGGGTGGCAGGCTAATAATTCCTGAAGCGAGCCCCCAGGTATATCCTGTGCTCACTATATGTAGCTACTGATATATTCAGTCCACATAGGCGATTACATTACAACATCTCCCCCCTGAGTTAATTTTCCCATGAAATGTTGTTCAGTACCGATTCTTATTGGTGTCAGGACATAATTGTTTGACATTTTACCTCCTCCTAATAATTTTCCGTCTCACCAATATCTATCTATAGATATACTGTTCATTATTTATCTATCTATCTGCTAATCGATCTATCTATCTTCGGCAGCTAACCTATCTCTGTTGCTCACTTACATTTGTGTTTGTTCAATACCCACAATTTCCATGTGAGCATCATCTAGCGTAATCAAGTTTGAACAAGGCCCGTACACTGAAACCCTCGACTTGTGAGTTGTGTCTTTCTGTTAGCACAACCATCGACGAACAAGGTATTTTTGGAAGTGTTATCAATTGAATAGGTATTTTTGGAGGTGCTATCAACTGAATAGGTATTTTTGGAAGTGCTATCAAATGAATAGGCATTTCTTGAAGTGCTATCAATTGAATAGGTATTTTTGGAAGGGCTATCAACGGAATAGGTATTTTTGGAAGTGCTATCAAATGAATAGGCATTTCTTGAAGTGCTATCAATTGAATAGGTATTTTTGGAAGGGCTATCAACTGAATAGGTATTTTTGGAAGTGCTATCAAATGAATAGGCATTTCTTGAAGTGCTATCAATTGAATAGGTATTTTTGGAAGGGCTATCAACGGAATAGGTATTTTTGGAAGTGTTATCAATTGAATAGGTATTTTTGGAAGGGCTATCAAATGAATAGGTATTTTTGAAAGGGCTATCAATTGAATAGATATTTTTGGAAGTGCTATCAACTGAATAGATATTTTGGGAAGTGTTATCAATTGAATAGGTATTTTTGGAGGTGCTGTCAATTGAATAGATATTTCTGGTAGTGTTATCAACTAAATAGGTATTTTTGGAAGGGCTATCAACTGAATAGGTATTTTTGGAAGTTTTATCAATTGAATAGGTATTTTTGGAAGGGCTATCAACTGAATAGATATTTTTGGAAGTGCTCTCAATTGAATAGGTATTTTTGGAAGTACCATCAACTGAATAGGTATTTTTAATGATAGAATTTTTCTGGAGAGATCGTCAATAAAAAGCAAAAAAGAAATAGTTTAATCAAAACAAGCTTTAACTAATGTCCGAGTGATTTCGAAGATGTTAGCATTTGGCAGAAGAAAATAAACCAATGTGTTTGAATTTCCTTTCTTTTTATCTAATAATCATTTAGGATTTGAGGTTAGGATTTGAGTTTGGGTTAGGATTAAGGGTTAATCTTAGGGTTAATATAGTCATATCTCGTTACACCCTTTTTACAAAACATTTAAAATTATATAATCTCTAGTTTTCGCTGAGTAAAGCAGTAAGCAGATTAAGGATAGGGAATATAGAATAGAAAGATTATTTTGCGCCAATAATTAGTACAAAGATTCTGTTCCTCAATGCTATGAAAAATGCTGTTTCGTCTTGCTAGGAAAATCAGCATTCAAAATATTTTGACTGGGTTCGAACACTGGCTACTAACACTAAGCTTAGCTTATGCTCCTGGGTGTAAATTTGATATTGGTGAGATATCTGGAAAGTTAAATAAATTTCGGTAAGAAAAATAAAAAAAAATAGATCATGAAGTAGCAGGGACTTGTTGAAAGTTTCTTCTGAAAAAAAAATGGAGTCCTCTTAAGTAGTTTATTTTTCGGTCAACGCTTATCAAAGTGGTTCGCAAAGAACATCAAACGTTAAAATGCTATTACAAATCAAAAAGTTATAAAACGTTCGAAAAAATATTTTTTTATAACGAGAGGAAAAGGAAAGGAAAAGGGAAAAAATTGCGAGACGATATAGTAAACTGCCCAAACTTATTTAAATAGACTTAAATAAAAGCTTATATGAATATAAGAGGGATCCGTTATAAAACAACTTAATCACTGCGTTAGACCTTCATCCTAATCGATTTGACTAAGATTTTGACTTAAACAGTCACTTGTCATCTCTCTCTCTCTCTCTCTCTCTCTCTCTCTCTCTATATATATATATATATATATATATATATATATATATATATATAAATAGGTTTTTATGGTACAAAATTTAACGATAGCGAGGAATAGGCAGAATTTATATGTCATTTTTAAAAAGCTAAAAAAGAACAACCAGTTTCGCTCTAGGACTTATCAAGTTTATTTTCTGGGATAGAAAAAATAGATAAACGTATAAATTAAATTAATATAAGGAATGGAAGAAAAAAAAAAGAATTTCAAGAAAGCTAGAATCCAATAACATTCAGACCCAGTAAGCATTCCCTCTGTTTATAAAGGGAAGACCCATGGGATCTGATATGCAAGGACTCTAGAACCTTGAGGTGATATCAGGAATGGGACCTAGATAGAATCAAAAAACGGTCCGCATTAAAATCAAACACATAATTCCTGCTATTTATTACATTCACAGCAATAGCAGAGCCAGAAGTATTGGTTAGTTGGCTTTTCCTAGCACCAGGATTCGAAATCCTGATGTTGGGGGTAAGTGTTGTTTTATTCTCAGATCCAAACGTTGGGACGTCCTACCTATGTAGTCGACTCCACAACTACACTTATATTTATAAATCACAGATAATACGCCCCCTCCACACACACACACACACACACACACATAAACACCCCCATATATATATATATCTATTTATATATATATATATATATATATTATAATTATTATATTTTTTCGTTACAGAGTCCTAACCATGTTTCAAAAATGGAAGCTAAAAGCCCCGAATTTAATTTTGTGATTAAATTAAAGACATTAGTTCCATTTCATCCTCAAGCGAATTTTGGAGTAACTTTTAAAATTACTGGGTTTTAAAGGCACAGCTAAAACAAAATTCATGTTTCCAAGGTTACAGTTAAATCTATTTTTCTAGACAGGGGTGTCTGGGTGTTCAATATGTCTATATTTTAATGTATCAATTATTGCTACGTTTAACAATAAGGATGAGGACAACAGTCTGAACAATGTAAATAGTGTAAATAGTTACAATATCTTATCGCAGAAATATAGACTGTGAATATGGCAATAAAGATGAGGACAACAGTCCAAACAATGTAAATAGTGTAAATAGTTACAATACCTCATCTCAGAAATATAGACTGTGAATATGGCAATAAAGATGAAGACATCAGTCCGAACAATGTAAATAGTGTAAATAGTTACAAGACCTCATCTCAGAAATATAGACTGTGAATATGAAAATAAAGATGAGGACAACAGTCTAAACAATGTAAATAGTTACAAGACCTCATCCCAGAAATATAGACTGTAAATATGGCAATAAAGATGAAGACATCAGTCCGAACAATGTAAATTGTGTAAACTGCCTATTTTAGTCTACCTGGATCGATGAATTTTACGAAGAGCGATCAAATATAGATATTTAGATATAGGATTTATCACAATCATCTTAGGTCAGTTTACAAGTGTTACTGGTATTATGTAACCCGGTACTATCTGCGAATAGTAGGGTTATCGGCGACTAAACCGGTTCCCCCACCAGGCTTTTCTGGCGAGGAGGGTGTATATAATCAAGCAGGATTAAAAAATGACATATTAAAGGACGGACAATCAACGGCCATCTCGCACAATATGGTAGATTGGGCTAGACAGCTATATGTTCAGCCTGTGTGGTGATGCCACGGCATCGCTGGGCAGAACGCCTCCTAGACTAAAGTCAACTGCCAGGGCGGAGGATTTCCCTGAAGGAATCAATGGTCACATACCCGTAACCAAAGCAAGCCTTCAATTCGTAAGATACCGGCTGTAGGGTGCCGTGGAGATGGATGGGCCCCGCCAGGTCTGCTATGCATAAATGAACACGTCTCCGGTTTTCGACCCAGACATATGTAGGTAACCGGCCGGGAACCCAGCAGCGCAGTGACCCTACGACCACGACCGGTCATGGAAATGATGATGATGATGATTTATCATAAAGTGAAAGCAAATTGGTAGGCTATTGATAGTGTATGTCATCGAAACTCGGTGGTACGCTATTTTGAACTTTTGCCAAACTGAGCTAAGCTTAATAAATATCTTTTGATCTCCTTGTCCATCTCGCACACTGTTGGTCGTTAGCTGAGTTCGATAATCAATATTATGGCCCTTTACCTAACCGAGCACATCTTATTAAATATTGGGTTGGTGCATAATTATCAGGCGTTTTTAAACACTATTTATTATGAAAAATGAAACATAACAATTCAACAATAACATTTTAAAATGATTATTTCGGAGCGTATGATTATCGATACGCATTTTTATTACCTGGAAATAAAATATTTTATTAAAAAAGTAAACAAAACAGCAATTTTTATTAAGAAATAACTCACCTACATAAACGCCTGATAATTATGCACCAATCCAATGTTTCTCTTTAGGTTTCTATGTACGTGTTTTGTGTATGTCTGTGTTTTCAAAATGGAAGGTTTTGCCATTGTTAACTTTTCCTTATTTTAGCTTCTGTTGACAACGAATGGTTCAACAGATTATACGTTATTGTAGCCATACAGGCTTGTACCAATTATAAACTTCAGTGGACAATCCAAATCGCGATTACATATCCAAGTCAATAATCCCATCTTTTCCCTGCTTGCCTCTGGATTAACATCTTGCCCTGTGTATTATTTGTTATGTAGAACAAATGTCAACGATCGAGTTGAAAAGAAATCCACACGGATATTTACTCTGGTTTGCTTTGAAAATGAGTTTATTTCATTTATTATTCTTTCCTTTTTTCATTTCGATTTTCCTGTCATTCACTTTCATTTTTCTTTCATTCGTTTTTATATTTCTTTGATGTTTTTCATTCATTTTTTTTGCTACAATTTTCTTTTTCATTTGTTAATTCTACTTTCGTTTTTTAATTAGATTTGTCCACTATACATTTTCTTTCTTTCTTTCTTTCTTTCTTTCTTTCTTTCTTTCTTTCTTTCTTTCTTTCTTTACTCAAATTTTACTCCATCCTCTTTTCTTTCTTTCTTTCTTTCTTTCTTTCTTTCTTTCTTTCTTTACTCAAATTTTACTCCATCCTCTTTTCTTTCTTTCTTTCTTTCTTTCTTTCTTTCTTTCTTTCTTTCTTTCTTTCTTTCTTTCTTTCTTTCGTCAAATTTGACCTACTTCGTCATTTCTTTCTTTCTTTCGTTTGTTAGTCAAATTACACGCTCTTTCATTTCTTTCTGTCTTTAATCAAATTTTACTCTCTCCCCATTTCTTTTTCTTTATTTCTTTCTTTCCTCCTTTTTTACTTTCCAATTTTACTCTTCATTTTTCTTTCTATATTTTTATTTAATAGTTTTTTTTTTATTTTTGGCAATATATTTTTCTTTCTTTTTTCTTCCCATTTTTATTTTTTCTTTCTTTTTCATTTTCCTTCTTCTTTATTTCATTATTTACTTTTTTTTTATTCTGGTTTCGCTTTCCCTTTCTTTCTTTCTTTTTTCTTTCTTTCTTTCTTTCTTTCTTTCTTTCTTTCTTTCCATGCCCGTCTTTCAAAATCTTGTTGTTTGTTTGTTTCTTTCTTTTTTTCTTTCTTTCTTTTCGCAGCACTGTGATTTTTGTTTTTATTCATATCTTTCTCCTTTCTGGAATTTTCCTCCATTTCTTCTGCCACCTTATCGCTCTTCTTTCTTGACCTTTTACCATACTAAGCTAAGCATTATTAAACATATTTTATCTCCCTATTCCGTATTTTATTGTCCTTACTCTCCTCTGCATTACTTTTCTGTCATATGTTTTGTCTCTGTTATTTTTTTGCTGTTCATATTACTCTCCTTCTCTAACGTTTCATACCTTTTCACCTGAGTATAATTTTCCTTCTTCGTCATCAGGTTAGTCTATTTTCCTCTTTCTCTCCCCTTTCTCTTCTTCGAGTCTATTTTCCTCTTTCTATATTCCTTGTCCCCTTCCTCTCCCCCTCTCTTTTTCGAGTCCTCTTTCCTCTCTAACTCTCCTACTTGCTCTCTTTACCTTTTCTCTAATTTGTTTTACTCTCTTACTCTTTTCGGTATTTTTCTCCTATTCACTTATCTCTTTTTTATTTTTACACTCTTCTTCTTTGAATTTTTCTCTTCTTCCTTACTCTCTCCCCCACTTTCTGTACTATATTTTATTCGCCTCCTCCTTGCTCTCCTCTCTGTTTTTTTTTATACTTCTTTCCCCTCTCTTCTATATACATTCTTTTTCTTCTTTCATTATCTTTAAAGTTGTTATACTCCCCACTTGTGCCGGCCTGTGTGCCAGCCGCTTGGTAAGGAACCTTGGAAATGACTTCACACATGGAGTCGTTGCAGATCCAATTGGACTTGAAAAGAAGCGGCCAGGCGAACGCTCGAATGGTCATTCAAGCGATGGCCTTTTATGGCCGGCATGACGCTAATCTCAAGATAGCAACAGACACGTACAGAGGCAGCCGAGTTTCAGCGATCTGTCAAGCGAATTGCAATATCACCATCTTTCTCTTTGTCTCCGTTTTACTTTCATTCACTCTCTATCTCTTCTATTTCCTCTCTTTCATCCCTCTTGATCTGTCTCTCCGGGTATCTTCATTATTCAGAATGTCCTTTCTTTCTCTCCAAGACTTACTTTTTTAACGCCCTCTACTTTTCTCTCTCTGACTATATATATATATATATATATATATATATATGTCTGTTGTATTCAATGAAATGTGCAGGAAAGAAGGATTGATTGCATAAATACACACACACACACACACACACACACACACACACACACATATATATATATATATATAAATAATATATATATATATATATATATATATATATATATATATATGAACTAATCCTGATAAACTAAGCGTTAGAAAAAACAAATAAAGATAATCAATCCAAATAAATATATGAAATAATACACAAATTAAAAACTGTTCCCGCCAAAATGATAGTTAGAATAAACTACAACAATCAACCCCAAAATTGAATAAATAGCTTTAATTATCTTCCCAAACCAAAACAAAACTATTAAATAAGTGATATAAACAAATTTTTACTACGTTAATAAAAATACCGATTAAAAACTAAAAACTAAATAAATAAATAGATATATAAGATAAGAAATAAAAATAAAAAATAAATAAAAACAAGCAAAATAATTTATCCCAAATAAATAAATAAACAAACAAATAAACGACTTCCGGTAAAATAACCACCAAAATAGAATACCCACAATGCACCACTGACCCGTATATATATAAATAGCCGAGAAAAATAACAGCAGTCGTGGCCTGATGATTACATCTAGCATGAAACAGACTGTCGCCTCTAAGTGTTGACTTCTGTGTTCACTTTTATATATATATATATATATATATATATATATATATATATATATATATATATATAAAAGAAATGAATGGATCTTTAATTCAACCTTATTTCTTATTCTAAGCTAATCGATCTCTAAGGCGGTTGTTATTAATTTCACTGTTTGAAACTCAAGTACCCACTAAATTTGATGTTGATAATAATGATACATATGGTGTTTGCCAACTGCTGTCCGAGTATGGCCATTACTACATATCTTTTTGGAGAAAATCTACTGATGTGCTGAACGAATTTGGCACTTTAGCCCAGCAAGAGACCTACATACCCTGGAACAAACAGGGTACTTAAGAGGTCTAACAACGGGTGATACATTATCATGTAATTTAAAACGACTTCTGGACCCGCATATCTTATCACAAATATCACATTTCAGTTTCTGGACGTCTACAGTTTTATAGTCAATTGTCACCTTACGTTGGTGTGGCCTCAGAGGACTCCTACATCCTATGAAGTCACTATATCTTTCCTTAGGTGCTTATAAATTGTACACCGTTCAATTATTAACGTTAACAACGAACTATTTTAAATTACAAAGATTACTTACAATATAATACATATTACTTATAATACTTTCCTTTTTGTTGTCAATTTTGACGACACGGGTAAACTAGTTTTTTTTATATTTTGCTAACAAAGAGCAAGACTTTCTCGTAAATTCTTAAGGTGCTCTTGAGGAATAGTTCATTGAATCCAACACATGACATAATACCGCATATTCACAGGGATCCTACTAAAACATCCATAATGTGAAAATACAGGCTGTCCATAAATTTCGTGTGCACTTTAAAAAATTTATAACTTTATTTGTATTTGCGATAGAAATAATTTGTAAAAAGGATTAGAAAGAAGTAAATCTATATTTTTTAAGGTTTTATTGAAATTTTATTTTTGCTTCCACATGTCCTCCATCATTAGCAATACAAAGGGTAATACGATTTTGAAGTTCACGGAAAACATTTGCCAACTGATTTACAGTAATGCCTGAAATCACATTAGTTATTTTAGCTATACTTAAAACTAGGTACATTAAAATTTATAACATTATATATACAATTTTTTTTGTTTTCTAAATAATTAAAATATATAAAATTATGACAATAAATGGGGGGGGGCTTGGATGTACCCAATAACTATATATAATAACTAAACATTCAAACTAAAAATAAAATATATAAGTAGAAACCTTTTACTGTACAGAAAAATAAGAGAGTCCTCTGTATTCTGCCGCTAAACAGAATCAAGCAGTTCATTCGCTAGGGTCAAGGAAGAGACGAAATAAATTAGGGAGTGGAGACTTATCAAAGGGTGATCCAGTCAAGATAAAAAAGTGGGGTGGAAACAAAAACAAACTGGGAAGGTTGGGAATCTTGACATGCATTATAAAGCTTGGAGCAGACCGGGAATTTCAATTCTTACCTTAACTAGGTAAACAAAATTGTCTACCTTAACAACGGGAGGAGTCCAACAAGAAACCTCTCTGTTGTGTAAAAAAAGAAAAGAAGAGCAAAAAAGAAAATCGAAACGGGCCCCGTTCACACAATCTAAGATCGCCAGTTTTACCAATCTTTCGGTGTAATCTGCCAGTAACAAATGCTTTCTGTCAGTTCCGATCTTCTCTTTGAGCTGACGCCAAAAGAATCCAATCAGATCCTAATGAGAATAACGTTTGTATCGTAAGATTCCTTCCATACGCTTCGTCCACACCATCAGCCTTTCCACGGCTAGCAGCGTCAGAAACACCATCCGTTTCACCCCAGAACACGGGGGCTACACATTATCGCACGCCTTTGCGAGTTCAATGGGCACAAAATAATCGGGATCGATATGAGTCGTCAACTCGCCGTCAGGATCCCAGAACGGGCGCACCTGAAGACAGTGGTAGAAAGCGTGCGCAGACGTTTCTTTCAAACCAAGGTGACACCAATCGGGTCGGGCGTATCTGTCCAGCCCTGTCATTGAGAGATAGCGCGTTCCGGGCCAATCACCAGGTAAGCGAAAACTCAGGGCTGCTGAGATAATTTGCCCCTGGCGCCTAGGACTAGAAAGAGCGCAATTGAGTCGCTGACAAGCCGAGCCGCTGACAGAGTGGGTACGACGCAACCCACCTCCACTAGTTCCCGATACAATGTCCTCATAACCATGAAAGGTCGCGGAGTAGCATGCAAGGCAATTTGAAATTCGTGGTAGAGTTCGAACTGTCCGAGCCTTATGACAGCATTCAGCCTCAAAATTGGGAGAAGTAATGAAAGATTAGGGAAGGTGACCCTAATACCCCTCGTCCAGAGCAAATCTTCTGTTAACCATTGACGTTGAAAAACCAAATTCGAGGTGTGTTGATGACACTCCAAGTGTGGCATTCATTATTCCACCATCACACGGACATTGGACAGTCTTCTCAGCAGATCTTCGTCTTGCGTCCACTCCACAAAAGGAAGAACAACAACCACTTGATCGCCTTCCTACGTTTCTTGCAGAGATGGAGTACTGACAACCGGTAAAGGATGCAGGAAAAACGTACATGGAGCACACCTCAGCTCTACCCTTCTACCGATCAGTTCTTCTTTAGCTGGAATCCCGGCCCGAATCACACTCCAAGAATGCGAACCGGAAGATTTGTTGTGGTTAATAGTGGCCCCCGTGACTTTCTTGTAGCGTTCAAGCGGCTTCTGTACCAACTCAATATCGCGCCGGCACGACACGAAAATGGATACGTCACCGGCGCACGCGGAAACCATGGTTCAAGCCTTACCAGGGTCATCGATTCCACATAGGGCCGGTCTGTACGCCCTGTTCCTCAGCCGTCGAAGGAGAGGCTTCAATGCCAAAGCTTAAAGTTGAGGCAACAACGGACAACCCTGAAAAAAATAAAATAAAATAAAATAAAATAAAAAAACGACCGTGACAGCACAAAAGCGATTCACTGATTCCCGTTCCACTGCACTAAGGCACTGATGGTGATAACTCCTGGGGAAATTCTTGGGGTCTTCCATCGACGGAGGTAAACTTGATTAAAGGTCTGAAGAGGGCTTACCTCTTGGAGGAAAGGTCCCACTGGCGGCCCCGTCTCTCAATAAAACAAATGGCACTCCATTGGCACTTTTTTGATGTTTGGAATGGGTTGTTTGAGCCTTAACGGGAAGGTGTGGAGGCTCATAGTTTGTTTAGGTCTTCTTTTTTGTCTGGCAAAACAGGGACGGATTAAGATTTGGTATGTTCTATGGTTCGTTCCATCCTGCTTCGTCCGGCTTTCTTGTCTTTTTTTTTTTTTACACCTTTTTCTTTCTTCTTCACCGTCCGTTTTCTTCCCCCTTTTCAAGGAAGATGACCGAGTATTGATAATGTTATATGCGTTCTCTTAGCGTTTTCATTTAAATATCAACTGCCTCAGCACTTGTAGACCTCATCAGTAATATAACACATGCAAAAACTCCCCTACTTCATTTTTTTTTATTTCTCTTTGAGAAATTCTGATTTTAAACCTCTTTTCTCATTATTTTTCCATCTGGTGAAAAGGCCAACTAATATACAATGGGTATTATAAGTTTTATTATCAATATTATTTTTTTTTTTGTTTTTTATTCTTTCATTAGCCTGCTATATGTATATATCATAAAGCTTAAATCAATGAACAACTTACTAAAAAAATATACAAATGTTCGATAAATTTTGTTATCTGTTATATTTAGCAATATATATTCAAATACAGTATTTACATTAGTCGGACTATTGTCCTCATCTTTGTCGCCATATTTGTCACAACGTTTCGGCCGTTGTACGCTCCGGCCTTCTTCAGCTGGTTGGAATTTCGAACTGAACCCTTTATTTCGATCACTGGGGTAGACTGTTCTAGTTCCACGTGTCATGTTTGATGGATGTCAGTTATCAGTTATGTCCTGCCAATTTTCCCTCTGAAAGTTATCCACTGCCTTAACTCCGACTAATGTAAATACTGTACATAATACCTCATCTCAGAAATATAGACATATATTCAAATAATGATCTGCTGTCCCAATACACGATATATATATATATATATATATATATATATATATATATATAGACATTTTTATTTTTATACATGCTTTTTATAGATACAAATATTTAAGCAAATGCCCTGTTTATAATAAACAGTATTAAACAACATTTACCGGCCTGAATATCCGAGAAATTTTCACAGAAAATATTCATCCTCCGACAGGATTCGAACCTGTCACCTATACGCAACCGTCATTTAGCCTGACGTGCCTTAACCGATCGAGCCACGGAGGATCGTTCGATCAACCAAGTTGATTTTACTGTTTTTAACTTCAACTTCCATGAATCTCTGCTCGATGCGTATCAAATGTAAACAAATGACGTCACACATTATGAAACGGACAAAGTCCGACAATTATTTTAAGACATTCTTATGTTTATAGATGGAAGATTGAAGTTTTCTACGGTCATAATTCCATCGGTTTTGTTAAGAACTCCAGAATCCCCGACTGAAATGCAACCCCAAACCATGAGAAAGTATCCACCCTTTTTCACAGTTGGCTGCAGTCACTCAGCCCCTCTCCTGACCTCCTCTGTACATACTGACGGCGATTTGAACCGGAAACCTCAAATTCTGATTCGTCCCTCCGTAAAACATGATGTCACTGATTATCCCTTCAGTTTTTCTATAATTTGACATATGTCAGCCTTTTCTGCGTTTTTTTCTTTCTTAACAATGGCTTCTTCATGGAGGGCCTTTTACTGAAACAATATTTGATGTGATCTCGGCGAACAGAAGACGGATCAACTGAAAGACCAGCTACGTCCTTTATGTTCGCTGGATATTTGACTATTTCTTAAGAACATAACTTTCAAATACTGTTGTAGATGTTTTTATTAGGCCTTCGACATCTTTCGTTCTTCACTCAAACTTTTTAAGGGCACACTGCACACCATGAGCGAGCGAGCGAGCGAGAGAGAGAGAGAGAGAGAGAGAGAGAGAGAGACTGATTGGTTGATGTTTTAAGCTTTTTTTCTTTTTTCTTTTAGTTGTTATTTTTACACTCTTAGTTTATTTTGGGGTACAAATGTTGTATAGCCCCCCTTCCCCTCGTGCCGAGGAACTCTTGTTAGACGGCGTCAATTCGATAATAAAGTTGCACTGTTTTCTCGCGGCGGGTGATCGCTAGTTGTTTTAAGTCCAGAGATAAAAGAACTTCACGTGGATTTTTAACTTAACTATTTTATTATTGTTCATGTCGACATCTTCTATCTATCCAGTGGGGGTCGTCCCCGCCCTCACTGGAGAGCCGTTTCAGACACGAAAGAAAATACATCTGCATTGTTTGACCGTTAAGTCTCAACTCACTGAAGATCCTTTCTCTGTCTATAGTTCTCACGCTGGCTCAGCCAATCAAAATAGACTTCCCATATTTTGTCTTTCATCTGACCTCGAAGGTCTACTTCAGGAAGTCACAGTAGAGATAACAATTCCCCCTAAAAATAATAGACTGCTAAACTATTATTTAACACGAAGTTTGTTTTTTTTGTTTTTTTTTGCATAACGTTATTTCGTTTATAGAATGTACCTTTCCTATAAATATTTGCACGGTAATTATTCTGATGACATTTCCTCTTTGGTACCTAGATTTTATTAATTTAAGCGTACTACTAGATTCGTGGTCTCATTACTAGTTGTAACCGTAAGTTCTATGCTAACAGTTTCTTCTTACGCACTTCTCGCTTGTGGATATCTCTTCCGGTTTCTTGCTTTCCTGTCTATTTTGATCTTCAAACATTTCAATGCAATGTCAATAGTTATCTTCTGTTTTCTTAATTACTGTTCTTTTACTGCTTTCTCTCCTTAATATTATTTTCTTTTTCGTATATTCTCTTTCGCTCAGTCACCTCTTGCATCTCAGGGGCTTTATTGCCTTGCTTTGAGGTGAAAAGGTTTTAAAAAAATGGTTATTCATCTCTGTCAGTGAAATCTGGCACCTTCCCGACAATAACAGAATATCTGTATCATTTGACTGATGATAAAGGCCACCTGAGCGTCGATTATTCTGTGCAATATAATTGTGATAGGAAGTAACTAAAATATCTATCTATCTATCTATCTATCTATCTATCTATCTATCTATTGTAGTCAGGAAGAGACGTATCGTGATATGGGGATTGAGGTTTAGATTTCCATACTTTGGACGGCTTATTGTTGACTGATCAAGCTAGAGTTCTTCTCACTTCAAGGTACTTGAACGAATTGGACATCCAAGAGCCAAAGTATTTGATGTCTTCAACGATTTTAATTGGCATGTCCGTCTAAGGCATACAATTGGCCTTGTCTTCACGGGTGGAATTGGAATACCTTCCTCTTCTTCAAGAGGAAGCCAACCTCGTCCGTTTCAGTCTCGACTCTGAAGAGAAGTTCTTCAATGTCGGTTATTATTGTTGGCTTGTGACGGCCATTTATTCTATCCAGTTTGAATCCAAGATCCTTTTTATGCCTTGCAAACCCAAAAGACTTTCGCAAACAATGATCTTTCAACAGTCAGTGCATCTGAACATTACTTACGTGAGTTTATGGATAGAAGGTTATCGAATCGATGGCCTGGGAGAGAAAATCCATATATTTAGGCAGATTTGGTCAAATACAGGAAGATCAATAAATCCTAATGATGAAATAAAATAAATAAATATATTTATTCTTGATCCTAATCTATATAAATGTTATGGTCCAAGGTTAGGGCTATGGACGGACAACACGAAACACAACAGTAGAAAATAACAAAGAATATATTACACAAGAAATAATACAAGAAGTGAAAGTGTTAGTAAGACTGTCCGACTTGGTTTGACGTGACTGCTATCAGCTCGACTCGATTCAATACCGTCCCAATACCGTACTAATACCGTTCATCTCTCTTGAGAGGCGTAGTAGATATATCCTTCAGAAGAGTTCATTCTGTCGGTCTAGGTAGGCACCATGACAATAAATAAATGCGAATGTCAGTGTGTCACATTTTTACAACTCCTAGAAACCGTAGCCCAACATATCAAATTGAAATCAGGCCGACTCAGTGAACAAATTAAAAACATTCCGGGCCGTATATTTTTCGGGGATTTTTTACGTGATTTTTGAGACTGATTTTTTTGTACGATAACAATTTTTACAACTTAAAAATAAATTTGAGAATAATCGAAATTAATTGCAAAATCCAGCGAAAGTTACTCATGAAATAAAAATAATTGTTCCTACAAAAAGTAAGGACCTACGTACATCAAATTGCCTTTAAATTAACTGGCGACAGAAGAATTATCGTTGAACTTTTAAAAGGTAAACTTAAATATTAATGCAATACTTAAATGCAGTGATCAATTTTGAGGTCTTCTGTAGTTTATTGTTGCCTATCGCATACGACAGCAGTATGACTCGCATAAAGAAATCTCCGCTAACAGAGGACAAGATTGCAATAAAAAAAAAGCCAAGGTTACAGCGAGGAAAAGAAAGTCCAGTGTAAATGAAAACTTAGATCAAGCAGCAGCCAGGAAAGCTTCCGATATTGAGAATATGCAAAAACTTAGGGACTCTCAAACTCCTGAACAAACCGAAAACCCAAACAAGAGCCTTCCTTTTAAACTCAGTCAATCATGTGCCATGCGTGAAACACGCTTATGCGATCATGTATCTTTCGATACATGACTGACGAGGCATATTTTTCCCGCAGTAGGTTGCTAGTTCTTTCTGTGGTAGACCAATTGCCATCCAAGGCTATAGAACCTGGTCTGTCCTGCTATTTATCCATAGCTGGAGGAGAAGAGGAGGATTCATACCTTTCCCAAGGCTATTAGCACGTAAGTGAATAAAATGGATTCGACTGGGATTCGAACTCGGTTCTCTGATTCCTCAATCCGAGCCACTATCCATTACTCCACTGGGTAGATAGATAGATGAAAAGAATGAGATAGATAGATAGTTACGTGCCATGCGTGATACACGCTTAAGCGATTATGTATCTTTATGATACTCGACTGACGAGGCAGATAATTTCTCGCAGTAGGTTGCCATTTCTTTAATTCCCTTCTCCAAGTTCTCCACTGCCTTAACCGGGTATTGAACTCACACTCTTTGGGTGCTCTCAATGGATCTAACTAATGCTTTTATCCACTGTGCCATGTGTGCTTGTTAGACCCAGTGACAGGACCCAAAGAGTGTGAGTTCAATACCTGGTTAAGGCAGTGGAGAAGTTGGAGAGATGAATTAACAGGAGATAGCTGATAACTGACATCCATTAAAACATGGTACGTGGAACTAGAACAGTCTACCCCAGTGAGTGAAATAAAGGGTCAGTTCGACATTCCAACCACCTGAAGAAGGCCGGAGCGTACAATGACAGAAACGTTGTAATAAATATGGCGACAAAGATGAGGACAATAGTCCGAATAATGTAAATAGTGTACATAATACCTCATCTCAGAAATATAAACAGATACTGAAAGGCCGAAACATTGTGATAAATATGGCAACAAAGATGAGGACAATAGTCCGAATAATGTAAATAGTGTACATAATACCTCATCTCAGAAATATAGACAGATACTGAAAGACCGAAACATTGTGATAAATATGTCAACAAAGATGAGGACAATTGTCCGAATAATGTAAATGATGTACATAATACTTTATCTCAGAAATATAGACAGATACTGAAAGGCCGAAACATTGTGATAAATATGGCAACAAAGATGAGGACAATAGTCCGAATAATGTAAATAGTGTACATAATACCTCATCTCAGAAATATAGACAGATACTGAAAGTCCGAAACATTGTGATAAATATGGCAACAAAGATGAGGACAATAGTCCGAATAATGTAAATAGTGTACATAATAACACATCTCAGAAATATAGACAGATACTGAAAGGCCGAAACGTTGTAATAAATATGGCAACAAAGATGAGGACAATAGTCCGAATAATGTAAATAGTGTACATAATACCTCATCTCAGAAATATAGACAGATACTGAAAGTCCGAAACATTGTGATAAATATGGCAACAAAGATGAGGACAATAGTCCGAATAATGTAAATAGTGTACATAATACCTCATCTCAGAAATATAGACATATACATAAAGGCTGAAACGTTGTAATAAATATGGCAACAAAGATGAGGACAATAGTCCGAATAATGTAAATAGTGTGCATAATACCTCATCTCAGAAATATAGACAGATACTGAAAGGCTGAAACGTTGTAATAAACATGGCGACAAAGATGAGGACAATAGTCCGAATAATGTAAATAGTGTACATAATACCTCATCTCAGAAATATAGACAGATATATGAAAGGCTGAAACATTGTGATAAATATGGCAACAAAGATGAGGACAATAGTCCGAATAATGTAAATAGTGTACATAATACCTCATCTCAGAAATATAGACAGATACTGAAAGACCGAAACATTGTGATAAATATGTCAACAAAGATGAGGACAATTGTCCGAATAATGTAAATAGTGTACATAATACCTCATCTCAGAAATATAGACATATACAGAAAGGCTGAAACGTTGTAATAAATATGGTGACAAAGATGAGGACAATAGTCCGAATAATGTAAATAGTGTACATAATACCTCATCTCAGAAATATAGACATATACAGAAAGGCTGAAACGTTGTAATAAATATGGCAACAAAGATGAGGACAATAGTCCGAATAATGTAAATAGTGTGCATAATACCTCATCTCAGAAATATAGACAGATATTCATAGTAGTAATGTAAGTAGTAGCCGTCTCAAGTTATTTGACGACTGAAATGACTTTGTTTCATGGATAGATTTAACGGAAACGGGTGACACAGAATGTTTCTTACAATCTGACCTGTTATAAATGTTGCATGACAAGTTTATATTGTCAATAAAACAAGTTCAAGTGGACTGTTTTTCTAGATAAGGCATTTTTAGGTGAGCAGCAAAATAGTTTTTTTGACAAAGTGTCAACAGAAAATTTAGATTAATGTGTGACACAAATATATCAGGTTGAGTCATAAATAATTTCCGTTTTGGTTTATCAACTTTAGTCTTTTAAAAAATAAGTACAATTGCATTTATGTAATTCTGTATTGACCATTATTTTCAATATCATCAACGATCATCCTGATGTCATCAACTCTCAAGTTGGTATCTACGCTGACGACGCTACTATTTACTCCTGCTTCAATAGTAAATCCGGCATCGTTGACAAAAATAACCTGACCGTAGGCCATGTAAAGGACCTCCAATCTGTGACTGACTGGGGAAGGAAATGGCTTGTAATGCTTCTAAAATGAAACTACGCTCATTTACCCACCATAGAGAACCCTCCCTGCCTTCCATCAGGGTGGCTGATGTCCAACTCCACGAGAGCGCTTCTCTGCGCCTACTTCGTCTCACGCTGTCCCCTGGCCTGAAGTGGAACAACTACATAGAATCTATAGCTTCATCTACGGCAAGGAAAGTAGGTTCTCTGTGTCGCGCCAGGTTTTTCTCGCCTGAGTCCATACATCAAATCTAAAAATCAACTATTCGTCCTTCCATGGAGCACCGCAGCCATATATGGTCTGGTGCTACCGCTGTTCATCTCGAGGTCCTGGACAACATCCAGAGACGGATATGCAAATTGATAGGTCCTGATCTGGCATCCAGTCTACAGTCACTTTTTCACAGATGTACTGTAGCTTCCCTCTGTCTCTTCTACAAGTATTTTCATGGCAACTACCCTGAAGAGCTACTTTCGCTGATGCCCAAACTGCATGAATTTAAGCGTGCTACTAGGTTGCCATCTCAGTCCTACACTTTTACTATCGAAACGGTTAAATATCACCGCCTCTTCTACTCCAACAGCTTCTTATCTCGCACCTCCCTTCAGGGGAACTCCCTTCCTCTTACTCGTTTCCTTCATAGCTATAATCTTCAAATATTCAAATGTAATGTCAATTGACATCTCCTGTTGCCTTGCCCTTGATCCCTGTCCTTCTCTTTGCTGTTTTACCAAACACGCTTTATTCTTACTCCCATTCTCTGTAACACCTTGCGTGCTAGTGGCACTTCTGCCTTGCTTGGGGTGATTTGCTTAAACTAAAAAAAAAATAAATAAAAAATAACTTGTTGCCTC